CCCGTGATCGCCTGTGACATCACAGCTCCCCTGTGACATCACATCTTTCCTGTGACATCTCAGCTCCCCTATGACGTCACATCCGTCATATGACATCACATATCTCCTGTGATATCATATAATCCCTGGGATGTCACGTCCTCCACTGTGATCCTCCACATCACGTCCCCCATGACATCGCACCTCCCCATGACATAAGAAATCCCCTGTGACATCTTCTGTGATATCATATCATCCCTGTGACATCCTGTGCTCGCCTGTAACATTGTATCCTCCCTGTGACATCACACCTCCCCTGTGACATCCCATCTCCCTTGTGATATTACATCCTTGTTGTGACATCACATCTCCACGATGATGTCACATCCATCAAATGACATCACACCTCTCTTGTGAAACCATATCTCTCTAATGATGTCATATTCGTCACATGACAACACATCCATCATATGACACCACATCCTTCCTGTGACATCACATCATTCCCGTGACATCACACCTCCCCATGACATCACATCATATCCTTACAGTGACATTACATCTCCCCTGTGACATCACATCTCTCCTATGACGTCACAACCATCATATGACATCACATCCTTCCTGCGACATCACACGTCCTCTGACATCACACCTCCTGATGACATCACAGCTCCCCTGTGATATCACATCATCCCTGTGACATCATGTGCTCCCTTATGACATCACATACTCCCTGTGACATCACAGCACCCTGTGACATCAAATCCTTCCTGTGACATCATATTGTCCCTGTGACATCACATCTCCCCTATGAGTTCACATCCTTCCGGTGACATCACATCTCTCCTATGATGTCGCATCGATCATATGACATCACATCCTCCCTGTGACATCACACCTCTTCGTGACATTACAGCTCCCATATGACATCACAGCTCCCCTGTGACATCACAGCTCCCCTGTGACATCACATCCCTCTTGTGACATCATGTCCTTTTTGTGACCTCACAGCTCCCCTTATGAGATCACCTCCTTCCTGTGACATCACAAATGCTCTATGACATCACAGCCATCATATGACATCACATCTCCCCTGTGACATCACATCTCCTCTATGACATCGCACCTCATCTGTGATATCATATAATCCCTGTGACATCACGTCCTCCCCTGTGAAACCACATCTTCCCTATGACATCACATCCATCATCTGGCATGGCATCTCCATTGTGACATCACATCTCTCCTGTGATATCACATCATCCCTGTGGTATAATTACATCGTCCCTTTGACATCACATCTCCCCTATGACATCACAGCTCCCAATGACATCACAGCTCCTATGTGATGTCACAGCTCCCCTGTGACATCACATCTCCTCTATGGCATCACATCCATCATATGACATCACATTTCCCTTATGATATCATATCATTCCTGTGATGTCATGTCCTCCACTCTAACATCACATCCTTCCCGTGACATCGCTCCTCCCCTATGTCACATTTCCCCTATGATGTCACATCCATCATGTGACATCACAGCTCTCCTATGACATCACACCTGCCTTGTGACATCACCTCCTTCCTGTGACATCACATCATCCCTGTGACATCACATCATCCCTGTGACATCACATCCAGTGACATCCAGATCCATCCCAAGGTTGAGTGTGTGTGTGTGAGACAGGCAGAACCACAAATGCCTGCACAGCCCAGAGCAGTCAGTGTGGTGCTGTGCTTGCTGCTGCAGAGACCCCCAGGGAACAAACCCAGGCAATAGTTTGGGTTTATTCCTTGCTCTGTGTCAGTGGAATAGAATGTTCCACAGGAACTCTGTCCCCCTCTGTGGCACCGGGGGGCTCGAAGTTGAAGGGGGGGGTCAAGTGCAAGTTCCCTTCTGAAGTGTGTGTCCCTAAGGAGGACACTTGCCTTATTATTGCTTATTATTTGTAATATCTTATAGATCTATCATACAACACCTACGGATGGATTCTATAGAATATGTCATAGATATTTGTGTTGGGTCTGGCTGAGCTGCAGTACAGTTCCCCACAGCAGCCCTCCCAGGGCTGTGCTTGGCATTGGCAGCTGGAAGGGTGTTGAGAACACACCAGTGTTTTGGCCACTGCTGAGCACAGCACCGACACTGGGACATTCCTTCCTTAGCTGAGGGCAAGACCCTGGGAGGGGACCCAAGTAGGCCAGCTGAGCCCAACTGATCCAAGGGACATTGCAGACCATGGGAGGTCAGCTCAGCTCTAAAAGCTGAGGCACGGAGCAGGAGGGGGGCATTCATTGTCTAATGGCTGCCTGCTGAGGAACCGTCCCGTGGACCCAAGCCCTGCTCCTCGGGAGTGGCCGACCATGGCTGCTCATGGGGAGTAGAGAACAAACCCTGCTGTCTTTTGCTTCTGTGCACACAAGCATTGCTTTGCTTTTTGCTCTAAAAAAACTGCCTTATCTCAACCCACTATTTTTTTTCCACCTTACTCTCTCCCCTGTCCTGCTGGGAAGGGGAGTTATAGAGTGGCTGGGAGGGCACCTGGTGTCCAGCCAAGGTCAAGCCAACACACACCTGAACACTTGCAGAGACTCCACCACCTCCCTGGGCTACTTCTGCCAATGCCTGAACACTCTCTCAGTGGAAAAAGGTTTCTTTAATATCTAATATGAACCTTGCCCAATGCAATTTAAGGCCATTCCCTCACAACCTTTCACTATAGCCTTGGCAGAAGAGACCAACCCCCACCCCACTAAAAACCTCCTTTCAGGTCATTGTAGAGAGCAATGAGGTCCCCCCTGAGCCTCCCCTTCTCCAGACTCAAACCCAGTTCCCTCAGCCGTCCCTCAGCAGACATGTTTTCCAGAGCCTTCCCCAGCTCCGTTCCCTTCTCTGGACACGCTCCAGCCCCTCAAGGGCCTTTTTGCACTCAGGGGCCAGAACTGGACACAGCACTCGAGGTGGGGCCTCAGCAGTGCCCAGCACAGAGGGGCAATCAGTTCTCTGCTCCTGCTGGCCACACTCTGCTCCACAAAGGCCACGATGCCCTTGGCCTTCTTGCCCCCCTGGGCACACTCTGGCTCATATCCAGGCGCTGTCAAGCAGCACCCCCAAGTCCCTTCCTGCTGAGCAGCTCTCCAGCCCCTCTGCCCCCAGCCTGGAGCGTTCCAGGGGGTTGTTGGGACCCAAGGTCAGGCCCTGACATTTGGCCTTATTGATCCAGCCTGTCCAGATCCCAGAGCATGTTCCAGCAAAGACATGGTGGAACCTTATGGAACCAAGGACCATTGTGACACTGCAGGGCCTTCTAGAGCCAAAGGAGCCCTGGACACTGGGCAATCGCATGGAATCAAGGCAGCACTGGAACCCTGGGAAAACTCCTGGAGTTCAGGGCCCATTGTGACACTGCAGGTCCCCATGGAACAAAAGGAACCCTGGGACACTGCGGAAACTCCTGGAACCAAGGGACCATTGTGACATTGAGGGGGCTGATGGAATCAGGAGTCCATTGGGACAATCCAGGGCCTCATGAAATCAAAGGAATTCTGGGACACAGTCAAACCTCCTGGAACCAAGGGGTCCTGCTGACATGTGTGTCTTCCTGGAACCAAGGGAGCCCTGAGATATTTCTGAACCTCCCAGAATCCAGGGGCCATTGGGACCCTGCAGAACCTCCTGGATTCAAGTGGTCCTTGTGAAACTGCAGGCCCTCCTGGAACCCAAGGATTCCTGGAACACTGCAGAGCTCCTGGAACCAAGGGGCCACTATCCCACTGCAGCTCCTTGTGAAGCACAAGGGACCCTGGGACAATGGGAAATCTCTGGGAATCCAAAGGGCATTTTGGGACTGCAGGGCCCCATGGAACTAAAAGAACCTTTGGAGACTGTGGAACCCCATGGAATCAAGGGTCCATTGGGACACGTGGGGCCTCCTTAACCAAAGGAACCCTGAGAATTTTTATGGGAACAAGTTAAGGCAGCAGCAGCTGCACTCAGTTAATCAGGATCAACAAGGAGTGTTTTGGCCTTGACTGCTGTTTTCCATCAAGAGTTCTGTTTGCCAAAGTGGAAAACCACTTGGAATGCTCTGCATGACCAGCCTGTGTTTTTCTCTGGTGGCTGAACACAGCCAGCACATGAGGGGAGGGGAACGTGTGGGATTAGGGCACTGCCTTGGGGCAATGCTGGGAATTCCGGTGGACTAAAAGACAAACACTGGGTGCTGCTCAAGAGAGAAGAGGAATAAAAGGGGACACCAAAAAGTGTTGGCGAACAAGTCCCGCATTGGAACTCTGTGTGTGCAGCCTCATTTTTTCCTTCATCACCCAAAGGAGAGGGGGCAAAAAGTGGGGGTTGGGAGTCCAAAACTGTTCAGGGGGGAAACTGGGGATTGAGGGGACAATGGGAAAGTGGAAGTAATAGGGAGAAGGGTGGAAAACACGGGGTGGTTCGGAAGGTCTGACGGTCCCATGGGGGTCTTTGGGAACAGGGGCACTGGCAAAGGGGGTGGCCCCCCTGAGCTCCCAACTTCCTGTGGGGTGCTGGGGGCTGCTGGATCCAATCTCAGCCTTGGATTATGCCAACACTTTCAGTTTAGAGGAATTACAGAGCTGTGACTGAAACACTTTTGTCCCCCAGCTTTTAATGATGGCAAAACAGATTTATTAATAGTAATGAATTTATTTAGGGATACAAATGATCAGACAGATGATCTTAATCAGAATTATTTACTGCACAACAGAAACACTAAAACTACCAGGAGTACAGGGTAAGATAGGACAGTGCTCTACACTAAAGCAATTCTTGAAGCAATTCTACTCAAGCTGGCACTAAAGCAATAATTCTTAATTAGAGATGGATGGAACTCCCCCAGACCAACGCTCATGGGGAGATCTCTAATCTCAACCTCCAGCAGTGACCTTGGGGGGTCCCCAGCCAAGGCAGGAATCTCCACACACACCCCAAGAAGGGTTCTGTTGGAAGAAGCTGCCCCTGGGAAAGGGGACTGGCCCTTTGGGGTCCAAAGGGATGGACTGACAGTCACTGGACTCCAGGGGTTGCCTCACCATCAGGGGGTTCATTCGGGGTGGAAGCAGCGGTCAAAGCTCTTCCCGCACTCGGGGCATCCCTTACCGGTGGGTCCGTTGGTGTGAGGTCAAGGTAGAGCTCTGGGTGAAGCTCTTCCCACACTCCCCACACTTGTAGGGCCTCTCTCCAGTGTGGATGCGCCGGTGGGTGACGAGGTTGGAGTTCTGGTTGAAACTCTTCCCGCAGTCGGAGCAGTGGAAGGGCCTCTCATCCGTGTGCGTCCGCTGGTGCACGAGGAGATGTGAGCTGCGTTTAAACCTCTTCCCACACTCCGACACTTGTAGGGCCATTCCCCAGTGTGGATGCGCCGGTGGGTGACAAGGGTGGAGTTCCGGTTGAAGCCCTTCCCGCAGTCGGTGCAGCGGAAGGCCCACTCCCCTGTGTGCGTCTGCTTGTGCTTCAGGAGATCTGAGCTGGTCTGAAACCCCTTCCCACATTCCAAGCACTTGTAGGGCTGTTCCCCGGTGTGGATGCGCTGGTGGGAGCGGAGGGTGGAGCTGTCACTGAAGCTCTTCCCACATTCCATACATTTGTAGGGCCGTTCCCCAATGTGGATGTGCTGGTGTCGGATCAGGTGGGAGCTTTGGTTGAAGCTCTTCCCACGTTCCCCACATGTGTAGGGCTGTTCTCCACTGTGGATGTACTGGTGGGTGAGAAGGTTGGAGCTGTTACTGAAGCTCTTCCCACATTCCCCACACGTGTAGGGCCGTTCTCCGGTGTGTATGTGCTGGTGTAGGATCAGGTGGGAGCTGATCCTGAAGCTCTTCCCACATTCCAAGCACCTGAGGCACTTCTCCCTGCTGGGAGGCTGCTCAGGGACCACCAGGTCACAGCTCCGCCTCAAGCTCCAGCATTGCCCCGCTCCCGGCCTCCACACTCGGCAGCTCCCAGGCTCTACACCCACCCCCGGCACTCCCAGTGGGGCCCCAAAACCGCTGTGTCCCCCCCGCTGGCACTGGGCTGACAATGGAGCCAGCGGGGCCTGACCCAGCAACACCAACCCCCACTGCGGGGGGGAACACGCATCCCCCCGCCCACCGCTGGGGCTCTGCCGCCAACCCAGCCCAGCACCCCCAAAAAACACCTCCCGCCCACCCCCAACAGCCCCCAAGGGCACAGCCCGGCACAAGGGCTGGCTGTGCCCAAGGCAACCAAACAGCCCCAAAGGCAGGGGGACAACCAGAGGCTGCCCCAGGGCAACGAGAGCAGGGAGCGGATCGGGCCCCCTGACACAGGGGCAGGCTCTGGGTTCAGCCTGACCAGGGGCATTTTGGCACCAACAGCACGGCCCCGACCGCTGGCTCGGCACAGGGGGCCCGAGCTCCCCCCTCTCCAGGCTCTCGGGGCTCTCCCAGCTCCCCCCTCTCTCCAGCTTCCCCCACTCTCCAGGGATCAAGGCATGGGGACACGGAGGGACCCCCTCGGCAACCCCGCTCCTGCTCTCCCCCCTACCCCTAGCCCCCCTCTCCCACCCCTTTCCCAGGCCGTTTCCCAGTGTGGATTTGCTGGTGCAGGATCAGGGTGGAGCTCTGGCTGAAGCTCTTTCCACATTCCCCACACGAATAGGGCCGTTCCCCAGTGTGGATGCGACGGTGCCGGATAAGGTTGGAGCTGTTCCTGAAACTCTTCCCACATTCCCCACACGTGTAGGGCCATTCCCCAGTGTGGATGTGCTGGTGCTTGAGGAGGTCGGTGCTCTTCCTGAAGCTCTTCCCACATTGCAAGCACCAGAAGGGCTTCTCCCTGCTGGGAGGTTGCTCAGGGACCACCAGGTCACAGCTCCGCCTCAAGCTCCAGCCGCCTTCCCGGCACAGGCTGGGTCTTTTCTCCTCAGAGCACCCTGGGCTGGCTTTGGAGCCCCTCCTGTGGGGGGATCTCCGGCCCTTTTCCTCCCCGCTGCCTTCCTGTGCCGTGGAGCCCTTCAAAACGGCCTCTCCCACCAGGCTCTGCCGGGGGGATTTGTCCTCTGGGCTCTCCGTCCTCAGCTCAGGGCCTGGGGCAGGAAGCAAGAAGGACAGGAAGGGGATTTGCCTCCAGTCCACAGGGAAGGCCAAGGACATCCCCCCAACTCCGGCCCCGGCAGGACGGCGGCGGCAGCGGGGTTGTCCTGCAGCCGGGGGCCATGCTCGGCTGCCAGAGCCAGCACAACACCCGCCCAAAGGGCCACTGACTTCCTCCTCACCTGCCTGGGGGGCCCAAGGCATCTTCCTCTTCCTCGCAGCCTCCTCCTCCATCCGACCAAGCTTTGGGAAGGACAAATCCTGATGGGGGGGGAAACAAGGGCTGAGCGCGTTGGCTTGGGGGTTCCTGCTGCCCAAGTCCATCTCTAGAACTCACCGGGCATCCTGTGACCATAAAAACCTCCAAAACACCAAGATTCAGCCCAGAAAAACCTAAACCACCAAGATTCAGGCAAAAAAGTCTCAGAAATAGTAAGAAGACCCTTAGCCATCAAAACTGCAAAATGTTGTATTTCAGCTAAAAACATAAAGCTTAGCCGAAAAAATCCTTCCCAGAAGTTACCCTTTTTTCATATCTCCCCTCTTGGTGTCAAAAGGTCTCTCCTGTCTGGGATGCTGGGGATCCCACTTAGGGATGCTGGGAGTGTTGGGGGTCCCAAGGGTCCCCTTCTCCTCTGACTCTTGCCTTACAGGTTCCACATTCCCAGACATGCCTCCTCTCCACATTCTCCACTTTGTTTTCCTGGGGATCCCAGAGGTCCCCACTGTCCAGGCTTCTCCTTGTCCACTCCCCCGTTTCAGGCTCCTGGGTTGATTCTCTTGCCCCTTTCCCATCGTGGCCGCTCCGCTCACCCAATAGCGGCAGGAAGGGAAGGGACAGGGGCAGAGCAGCACCAGCAACAGAAGGAAAACAATCGGCCCCCCATCCCACAGGTGCCCGGGAAGGGGGAACTCGCCCCAAATATCCTGGGGGGAACGCAGGGGGATCATGACGTACTTGGGCTGCCAGCACAGATTTCCCTGAAAAGTCTGAGGTGAGTCAAGCTCTGGAGAGGAGATTGTGCCCCATGCATGGGATTGCAGAGTCTCCCTCAGGGCCCCAGCATCAGTGAGCAACCAGACATAGACACAAAAGGCCCCCTTGAAAATTTTGGATGACTGTCCTGTAGGGAGGGGACAGTGTCACCCCACCAGGGCAGGGCTGGCAAGTGGGAGGCTGCTCCAGGG